AAAAACGTTGAAACGTATTCTGCGAAACGGTTATGCAGGACCGTACGATACGGATATCGGTTTCTATTAGGAGCAAATGCCAAAACCGCTATTCGTTTTGTAAGCTACGGATTTTTTTTAGAGAGTAGTGGGTCAAATTCTACTGAGCTATTTTTAGTGGGTACTCTTTTCTCAGTGGGTCACAAAAAAGGTAAGTACGATCTTTTCTTTTTCAAATTGTAGTAAAATCGAAAGAACTGAAACGTAGGACAAACTGTAATAAACTTGGTGCATATCAATAATTTTTTGTTGGCGTAGTAACGCATTGTCTTTCTTCAGCTGATCATTTTCAGTTTGTGAACAATCATGTTCATGTATCTGCTGACGTAATTTATCATTTTCTTTTTCTACGCTGTTAATATGTTTCATTAATGTGACCTTTTTTTCATTAACATCTGTATTTTGATCGTTTTCATCTTCTGCTTCTGGTAACAATTCTGTTGTGGTAATCGCATTTAATGTTGTTACTGTTTGAGTACGAATTCCATTTGTATCAGTCCAATTAAACGTGTCACATTTAAGATGCATTGTATTGACAAACGAAATACAGTTATCTTCTGAACCTGAAACGAAAGGAAGGTCAGATTAGACTTCAGCCGGCATTTTCACCAAGAACGTGCCTACCAATAAAAAAAACTAGACCTTCTTTTTTCTCGCGAATCGAGTTTTGAAAATGATATTTATTCATTACGTTAATGTTCAGTATGGACATACAATTTGATAAATTGACAATTGCTGCTGGCGCTTCGGTACTAGATGTTTTTTCCCATACAACAACTGCATATTGCTCATTATTCGATGCCATAACAGATAGAAAATTTGTAGTTTTATCTAAAAAAACGTATGCCATCCCTAGCCGCGATTTGCTTTCATAAAATCTAGGCTTATTGGATACACAAACCGCCGTCAGTAACCACATCTCTCATATATCTAGACTGATGACTTTGTATAGTATAGATAAATGGAATTAACACTTCACATTTTATAATTCTAACCACTAATAATGCATGACAAAAATCAGTGGTTCGAAATCACTGCTTTTATGCCTACTTCCTAATAGAAACGACGACAAAATGCAGCTGCTCTGCTAAATGAGTTTCTCGTCACAGGCTAACACCAGAGATTAAGACCCTCATCGAAAGAATTTCCTATACATGCGTAAAAATAATCAAAAATTATTGATTAAAAATTGTGCCTTTCTTTTCTCAACATTTGAAATTCTTAACTCTTTAACCTATGCTAATGTAACCCAATGTGAGCTCGTTTCGTCGTCAACACAACACACGAAGAAATTTTCTGATTTCTCCGTGATTATTTTTATTCTTTTCATTGGTACCTAATCTGCCATGATTTTCCGCTCAAATTCTCTTTCGCCGCCACTCGTCTAGGCTTCTATAGGAGTGGCAGGTGTCGTTATGTGCCTGACACCATGGAGTCTGAGCTTAGCGAAAAAATTCGTTTTCTTAACATAGCTACAAGTTGGGACCACACAACTTTACATAACGTATTTCTTACTAGAACACTAAGAGTGCTTCGAAACCGAAAAGTTTCTGAAGACTCTCTGCAGATGATCAGGTACCGTGAATATGACTTTTTAGTGATTTTGCACCTAACTACTGTAATGTCAAAAATGCGTAGTCCCTAAAAAGTTATATATAGATCTTCCAGTGGCCTTTCTAGCCTTGGGACACCGAAACAAGTTAATTCAGGCGTGTTACATGAGAATATAATCAAATTTAATGCAATCTAATTCTTAAGGGTTTGAAAATATGCTCTTTCTTTTGGCTCATTTAGTTTTTTTTTAAATCCTAAATAAATCCTAAATAAAAAAAAGAAGTAGGTTTTCCAGAAAACCATGATTTCTGCATCTAATGAACAAAGAAATTTTTTTAAATTGACTGGTTCACGATGGAACATTTCTAATTATATGACTGCATTCAAAAGAAAATGGGCTACATTCCGAAAAAAAACTCGAGTCTCCTAAGGTGCCGTCAATTCAAAAGATAAGCAAAATTTTTTTTTTGACTTTTTTTTTTATCATTAGATCGAGTACATCGAGTTACCTAGAAAAAACTGGAAAGTGGATTTTTGAAAGTCTTTTATCATTTAAAAAATTTTGAAATATTGATTTTTTAAAAATTGGGAAAATTCAACAAAATTTTCAAAAAAGAACAAAATTTGAGAGTTTATTGTCTTTTTAAAATTTCGGCACTATTTTTTCCTGGTTTTACATACAAAATTGAATATAAAAAGTAATCCAGATACTTTTAGAACTTGATTGGTCTACTGAAATCGCCGAAGACCTGGCAGAACGGCTTTTTTTTCTTTATTTAAGTCATCACACTTGTGGGAAAAAAAGTTAGTATCGGTTTTGGGAAATATTGTTCCGTTGTTGAGAAATTTAATTTTCTTGAAACAGGATGATTAAATTTCTCAACAAGATTTTCTCAAGAAAATTCACTTGTATTTTGTAGTTTTCACTGTCAAATTTGCATTTTTTTGCAAAACCAATGTCATGTTTGGAATCAGCATCGCAGACTGACTTGATTGATGTGTGTCTCAGGATTTTTGGGCGACTTTCATTTTTTTCGAACTTTTCAACCGAGATTTTTACGGAAAAGTTCGAAAAAAATAAAAGTTGCCCAAAAATATTTCAAAATTTTTTAAATGATAAAAGACTTTCAAAAATCCACTTTCCAGTTTTTTCTAGGTAACTCGATGTGCTCGATCTGATGATCAAAAAAAAAGTCAAAAAAAAATTTTGCTTATCTTTTGAACTGACGGCACCTTACTCAGAAATTTTAAGTTTTAGATGACAATTTTTTTTTAAATTTTAAATACCTCAGTTGTGGTAAGTGATGGAGACCTCGGGCTAGCGCCACTTGATAATAAATCCAAAACTAAACGAACTTAGGTAGTTGCTGATGTCCTAGTATCACATAGTCCTGGGTTTCTGAAGGGTTTTCTAGGAGCCCTACCCTAAGTTTTACATCTTTTAAATTTTCTCTTTTTCGAAGTGATAAATTACCTTCTTAAAAATGACGGCCCCTCTTATCATCTCCCAATTTTAATATTCTTCTTCACACACTCACATCTTCTCTGTATAACAAAATAATAAAGTAAAATAAGTAATATTTAATAAAGACATACCTTATGTTTGTGCTTTTCCTGGTTGTCCGAAGAAAGTTGGTCATTTCGGTCGTGTATGACGGAAACTAGCATTTTTACGTCCGCCAACTACCAAAGTTTCCGAACTCAAAAAATGGTGTGATATTTTATCTTTGGACATGAATCATCTTAGTGCAGGAAATACTGAAAGACTTAGATGTGAACCCTTTAATCCAGATGAAATTCTTGTATAAAATAACAAAAATTCATTAATCAAGGGTCCTGCATTGTGTGATCTGGTAATTCTGTCACCGTCATTCATAAAGAGAAATTATTAACCACTCTAACAAGAGAACGCAATTCTTTTTCATTATTTTCGTGCAAGGATTTCTAGAAACCCTAGAGAAAGCACAAATTATATAATTCCGGAACCTCGTCAAATACCTACTTTTGTTTAGTATTTTGTTCACTATCGAATACCGTTTGGCCGAGATCTCCATCACTTCCGAGTGTAGAGTTATTCAGATGTTTAAAACAATTCCAATTTAAAAATTGAAAACTAACTATAAAACTACTATTTAACTATGAAGTACTATTTACGACACCTCCTGCACCACTTGGTGTCTGTTTGGCAAAGTCAGATTCTAGAGAAAAATTAAATCAAAAATCACAAGCAGGTAGTACATAGTAATTTTAAACTGTCAAAAACGTACTATATTCTCTTTTTTTCTATCGTAGGTGATGTTTCATTGAACGTTGTCGATATCAATGATGATGATGCTGTACGACGTTATGAAGGTGGAAAAAATACAAGTGCAAATCTTTCTCCACCATTATCATCCTCATCAAGATCGTCATCAATAAGTCGTGATCGTTCACCTCAAAAATTGGATACATCTCTTACACCATCATCAATCTTGTCAATAACATCGAAAACAGACTCGTTATTCGTATCAAATTGGACAGATGATGAAAAATGCAAACGACAATTTACACATACATTATTTAATGATTTACAGCTAGCACAACGGTAAACAACTTTGCACGAAACGTTAATAAGAACTGATTTTTATTCTGATATTATTTAGGCCATATTTTGAAGCATTAATTAGTGCACTGGATTGCACTGAAAATGATCAAAAGTGTTTTTATTCTCTTAGTTTGATATTTACAATGTGTAACAATCCATGTATGTAAAAAATACGAAATTTTGTATCTGTGATCAATTATTGCTCATAGTCATCCTTACGCTAAAAGATTTTTTTGAAAAACATCGTAATTATTTTGAAGTGACAACTACTCATATGTTGACAACCACTCTTTGTTGACTTCGCTAGTTCTCACACAATTTATAAGTTAATTAATGGTTATTTCTAAATTTCTTTAGCTATGGACAGTGTTATTTTAGAATCGGTTGGATTAACAGTACAATCAAAGGTAAATTATTTCTTTTTTTACGATATGATAGAAAAGTTGTAGCATTTATTTTTTGATTAAGGAAAAGCAATTTTATAACACTATTCTGGTGGATCAATTATGTGTAATTCTTAAATTGTCTCAGGTAAAAAGATAATATTTTTGTCAATATAACTGTTGATAATCGAATTAATTTATTTTAGATTCGAATATTCGTCTTGTTACATTGGATTTAACTATTACGATATTGAAAAGTCTTGTTTATGATGAACAAAAATGTGTATCATCATTATCTGATCATCGATGAGTAAGAATGATTATTTAAACTTATTAAAACTTAGTTTATGCCTTATATTTAGTCGATTCGTGTATTTTCCTTGATACGTGCGTTATCATTAAAATTGAATTCAACACTTGAAACACTCTTACCGTTAGTACGTCCAGAAACATTAGTTAACGAAAATGATGCTCTTGATTTAAGTATGCACAAATTTAAATGAATGAAATTTTATTTAACAAAAAAGTGTTTGAATTTTTGATAATAGTGATTTAATTTGTTGTACCGTTCATATGAAAGAAAAGTATATAAAATTTTCTTTTTACCCCATTTATTACAACTATTTTTGTTTTATAATGTTAGAAAAGATCGTCAATTTCTTGTAACAAATCCAATGCAATTTATTCTGATTGAACCTGATGTTAAACGTCTAGGTTGGAGTATTGGAGGGTTGTCTACTCAAGGTAGGGAATAATATTCAGATCCGAAAAATCCTAGAACTCCCCATCTACCTCTCATATACACATATATATATATTTATATGTATATATGTATATATACATATACATATATATCTATATGTATATATATATATATATATCTAATGCTATTAGGATTTCAAGATTTCACAACTATGCACTACACATTACACACGCCTTGCAGAACTATTACAAATACTACAAAGCATACATATCTATATCTGTATGTATATATATATATCTAATGCTACTAGGATTTCAGAACTATGCACTATACATTACACACGCCTTGCACAGATACCAGAACTATCACATATACTACAAAACATCTGTATATATCACCATGAGATCTTGCTCTGGGCTGCCAAGACCGCGGGCGCAGATAAGAAATGGCTTTTACCAAGAATACAGGAGAGTTAGATTTTTCGTCTTAATAACGCGATGCTGGAGTATCTTCTCTAGGCGCTGTTTTACTCGGGCGGTCGCCAGCGACTCGAAACCTCCTTTAGTTAAGTTCGCATCGGAGGACCCTGCGAACATAATGTGATTACATTGATAGATTATTGAGTTTTTCGCTTGCGCATTAAATGGATAAGTGCACTTTGTGGACTGTGTATTTCCACCGTTTTATATGTCGTTTTTGTTATTTCATAGTCGACTTGTGTGTTTACTTGTATGTGTTCGATAACAAGATGATCAACGTCTAAACCTTTGACTTCGGCATTGCTTTCGGCGTTTTTTAATAATTGTAGTATAATTTCACATGATTTCTTTGGTCAGCGTCCTTGAGATGTTTTAAATTGTTTTGCTTGTATTTTGCGTCCAACTCCTCCATTGAAATGTTTAAATGGTACAATTTCTGTTTGTACGATGACATTTTTCAAATAACGCATAGCACGACGCAATGACATTTTTTTTAATGGGCTGAGCCGTTTCACGAGTATTTTTGAAATGAACTCGTAAATATGCTTTACATGACTTAGCCGGATTTTCAGCGGCATCTAAACAGGAGAAAAAAATCTTGATTAGTTTCGTCCTTGAAAGTGAAAGAGAAACTAAAAGTTTCGTGGAAAAACACACTTACGCAAATATCGAACCATTTTTTCTTATCTGATAGTCAGTGGACTGTCTAACACAACATATGGCTATCTTAGCTAGTGGTACTGACACTAAATGACTCATCGTTTCTATAACAGATTATGCACTTTGAATATATGTTAGGTAAAATGAAATTTATTGGGTGAATGTATTAAATTAAATAAAGCTTTTAATTACAAACTTTTTGGCGTTTTGGGTTTTTGCTATCAAGCAGTAGTTTTCAAAATAAATCAACTTTGCCGAAATGCCGGCGCTACTGTGAAGTGTAAAATGCATTTATTTTGAAAACTACTGCTTTCCAGAAAAAACCAAAAACGCCAGGAAATTTCTAATTAAAAGTTTTATTTAATTTAATAGATTCAACCAATCAATTTCATTTCACCTAACATATATACATCCGCTGATCATTGCATTTTTTAATCGCACAACAATCCGTCAGTCCCCACACTATAGCAGATGGAGGCGATTACTAGATCTGAGCTATCGCGCGATGAGCTGAGATTTTCAGTAACTATATATTTTAACGAGACTTTTATTCTTCTTCTTTATTCTCTTAAAAAGAACCATTTTGAGACACTTTCTGGAAAGACGACACGTAGAGTCTCTTTGGACATCGTTATGGCGAGCAATCATAAAAAAATGCCGCTCTCAAAAAGGTGAAGATAAGTCATCACCAAATCCTATCACCACATTTTGGTGATAGCTTATTGTTCGAGGTAACACCAAAAATTGAAAGGTGATAATGGCAGCTGTAGTTACCGAACGTTATTCAAATTTTAAAAAGTGAGATTTGAACAGTTTTAAAGAGTTTTAAGCTGGATCTCAAGTTAAAAGGGGTTTTAAGGCTTCGAAAACTAGTTTTAGCGCATAAAAAGCAGTGTGTAGAGGCTCATTGACAATTTTTGATTGGCAGAGTTATCCTATAACCCCTTACTTGCATGAAATGGGCGATCTTATCGGTTAAAGATCGTCGATCGGAAAAAAGAAAGAAGGTTGATGTGTCTCATACCGTTTTTTTAACTTTTTTATTTCCACTCTTTCATTAGTCAGAACAGTAGTTATACGACTGGGAAAGCCGTTTGTGCATTTTTCTGTTTTAAATAATTTTCTGGATTAATTCTTTTCTGTTGGTGGCAGCGACGTAGCCGGGATTCCAGTAAGGGGTGGACCAAACCTTTTTTTGGCCAAAGAAAACAGTAAAAAATATTCTTGTGTGGTATTTTTATGTTCGGTTTCAATCAAAATATTTTTTTCTACTGCCAAACTGTTTTGCACTGTTTTGCAAGCCAAATATTAACACATTTAAACTATCAACTTTTAATAAGAATATATCTTGTATAAGTAATCGTCTCGGCGGTGTTCGTAGTGATGTTGGTAAAATACTTTTACTCGCATTGAATAAAAAGAGAAAAAATGCTGGAAGTATTGATTGATCATTTTCTTCCTCTTCTCTAATAACTCTTATCGATGATAATGTCGTTGTTGAAATAATGATAGTAGAATCAATTTTTACTGAAGTAAATGATACATTTTTCAATGATTGTGGATGATCTAAAGAAAAGATGATTTTTGACAAAAAAATGTTTGTAAAAAATAATAAATAAATAACATTTTATTATATAGAACAAACCAACGAAGATATTTAATGTAGACTAGAAAACGATGAATTAATTAATTACTATATCTACCTGTTATTGTAGATGATTTGAAATAAAAATTTTCAATAGTTAACATGGATTTATTTTGTTGAGATTGTTTTTTTACGAGTTTTTTTAACGATGACATTGAACCCAATTTATAACTATTTAAATCTAGACATGATAGACGTTGTTGTTTATTTATCATTCTATCAATAAATTGTTCATTTGATATTGAATGAAAGAAATTTTTTTCACCTGTTTTCCATACCGATAATAAATAAACGTTTTTAAAATTTTCATTGTTTTTTTCATTTATGGTCTCATTTATCTTTTCATTATTCAATAGTGTACATGTCAAATTAATTTGAAGTTGATCAATTTCAATAAATAATATAAAAAATGACGTAGATGATTGTGGATTGAACATGTTTTATATTCTTGTGCAATATCCTATGAATATCGATTAACATGTATTATTGGTGAATGACATAATGGCATTTTATCTCGTTTTAATTTAAATTGAAGAATATTTGGCATTAACCTTAATAAATTATTACATGTACAATGCCGTGGATTTTTATCTAGTTCTAAAATATAATTATCATTTTCAATCTGATAATCAATAGAGTTAAGCCATGTTTTCGGTAAAACATTGATTAAAATACGTTTTAAATAATTATCATTTAGATATAATTGTTCGAGCTGTAATAGATCAGAAAATGTTTTACGTTTAATAAATAATAAATGATTAAAACTTAAATCTAATTTAACTAAAGATGGTAAATAATATGAAAATTCTTTTGTTAGTGTTCTTAATGAATTATGTGATAAATTCAATGTTTTTAATGTATATAAAATAGGTGATGTTGGTGGTATGGATGGTGTTCGATGTAAATTTTTACTAGATAAACGATTTAATTTTGCATATGTTAACGATAAGTTATCTAAATAATTCCACATTGTAAATTGATCAAAATAAAATATATGCATTGTACAATTTGTCATGGAAAATTGTTTTATAATAGAATAAAATTTTTGTTGATCTTTAAAAATAATTAAATTTTTTGTACAAATTAAATGAAATATTTCAATATTTGTTAAATCATTTGGAATTTTATTATAACATTCATAACATGATGATGATAATCGACAAGATAAACACTGATCACATAATACTTTATTATTTATAACAGGCATGGGCGAGTCCGAGTCCGGACTCGAACTTGAGTTTTTGTATTTCGAATCCGATCGATTCAAGTTTTAACATAAATGAACACTAAATTTTTTCTTTTGTTTTATTGTTCTGAGTTCGATGCAGTTCAAGGACGGTCTGCACCTTAGCATTCAATATCAATGTGTGAGATATAGATTATAATAGATTAGAAATATTGCTCTCTCGGATAAATCTTAAGTACTACAGCAGCTTGTTTTAAGTGCATAATAACAGTCCGAATGGAAACACAGTAGAAATTAAGCATATGACTCTATGTCTAACATGTAAAGCTGTTATATAAGCGAAAAGTGGAGGTTGAAATACTTATTATCAGATAAGACTATCAAAAAGAAAGAAGCAAAATATCCTACACGTATGTGGGTATCTAGAGAAGAGAGATATAGACATATAGTGATGAACCATACAGTCGAACGCTATCAAAAAGAAAAGAAAGAAAATCATCACTATATAATATGTCTATATCTCTCTTCTCTAGATACACACATCCACGCGAGGTATTTTACTTATTTTAATCTCTACTTTTCGATCAAGTCATAAATTTAATTTCTAACACTTCGATCTTAGCTTCGATTTTTGCCCTTAGACAAATTCAATGTTACTCATTTAATATTACTATTCCATAATTTTCAATGGCAAGTTCTTCTGTTGTTTCGCAAGCAAATTCATCTTCTACCACTGACAAGACTGAGACAAAACTTTAAATTATATTAAATGGCACAGAAAAAAAAAGAAATAAACCACAATCATCAAAAAAGAATCTAAAAGATTACCGGACTCGAAATGGACTCGGACTCGGTCCTTAATGCTAGGGGTACTCGGACTCGGAATAAATTTTTGAGGACTCGGACTCGCCCATGCCTGATTTATAATCAGAATTAGAATAATTTTAATTATCATAGTCGATCTTTTTTACTTAAAAAAAAATGTCTGTACAAAGGTGAAGTCAGCATAAGAACGGAAATCGGCCCACTAACAATAATCGCTCCAATCGGTCCATACCTCATCAAAATCACATCCAATTATGATATTCGATGATTTCGACCCTTCCGACCGCTTTTAGTCGAATATACCCA